GGGGGGGGGGGGGGGTAAACTGGTTGACTGGGGAGCTTTGCCGCCCTGCGTTGCTTCCGGCGCCCACGTTTATGTCAATAATGCCTTGACGATAGATATACCCTGAGATCGCTTAATTATCGATAAAATTTGTCACAATCTGGCTATAAAGCCTGAATGAAGCGAGGATGAGGGTGCATGAGAGTTGCATGTGATGCTTTCCCAACACTATCATGTACACACGCAAAAATCTCGCATCTTGTAGCAAGTCTGCCAACAAGCCGTCAACAAGTTGTGTTCGCACTGCTTGTCCCAAGTTGTCAACAAGTTTGGAACAAGCTCTTAACAAGCTTGTAACAAGCTTGATGGCATTACTGAGACTTGTTGCAAGGTTGTTCCAACAAGTCCGATACAGTCATGAAATAACATTATTGTTACAACCTTCTGACGTCAACTTTGAAGTATTCTTGTTGTACCATGACTGCATCAGACTTGTTAGAGCAACCTTGTCGCAAGTCTCATAATTACCATCAAGCTTGTTACAAATTGTTAACAGCTTGTTCCAAACTTTGTTACAACAACTGCGAACAAGCAGTGCGAACACAACTTGTTGACGGCTTGTTGGCGGACTTGTAACAACTTGTTTGCAGACCTGTAACAACTTGTGCGTTTTTACGCGTAGTTGAAACACATATTAAACCTTTAATTAGTTAATCTGTAGCTTGAAATTTACAATGCGTTACAGCAAACTCTCATCAAATCTCATTCTCATTTGACAGCGATTTTAGGCCCGGATGAAACGAGAATCAGAGTGCATGAGACTTGGCAGTCACGCGACCTTTAGTCAGCACACATGCAGTTCGTAGTGCTTTCCCAACGCTATTATGTATTTAAACATGGTTGGAACACTCATCAAATCTTCATTGTGTAAATCTAGAGTTTGAAATGTCCATTGGAATAATTAATGTGTGATTGTCAACTCTCACCGGACATCAACTCTCATACTTGTTTGACTGAGGCTTAAGGTGCATGCCCCCTACAGTTGTTTAAGCATGGGACTGGTAATGAAATGACGTGTCTTGTCGAGTTTTATCACGTCAGCAAATATTCCCTTTGACCGTGCAAGGTTTGTAATGCAATAACTTTTTTCGTTCGGTCAATTGTTCTGAAATTTTGTATTTTAAAAGTACTAGTCATCTATTGCAATATACTCAATTTTTAAAAAATTCTATATAAGACAGTTTATTTTGTGGAATAAATTTCGCGTAATATCTCAAAAACTGAATCCCCCCCCCCCCCAATTTATTATATAACCTTACACTAGATATTCCCTTTACACCTACAAAATGTCAGAAACGTTGACGGAAGGAAATTTTAATAAATTATTTTTAGTCCAAAATTTGATCTTTGTCTGCTGTCGCCACATTGCGACATTGTTAGGCCACATTGTTACCATAGCAACACACAATTTGCTTCTTTCGAACGATTATGCTTGAAGTATAACGATTACACTTCCAAAAAAATCCCCATTTGGCATTGTACAAAAACAGCACATATTTTGCGTTATTGTGCACCTTATTTTTTGCTGCTCTTTACAAATGTAGGGAGCCACCTTAAAGCTCTCGATCGATCTAATCGGGATGAAATAACTGGAAACCAGGACAAATATGCAATTATAACAACTGTAAGTTGTATATACTGAACTTTTAATGTTAACTGTTAAAAAGAAAATTAATCAAGTGAGATATTCTAATTTACAGGTACAATAACATGGTGCATGCAAATTAAACATTCTATGTTACATTAATTTGTTATAAATTATAATTTATTAAGAATTTATTAAGAATTTATAAAAAAGGTATAAAAAATTGTAGGCCGGCAATATATTAATATAAGCAATACGTTTAAAAAAGTGATGCGGCAATACTGGCAATGGTCAATGTCACTTGATATACAAGGGTATCCCAAAAAAATGCCCTGTACTATATTTGATCGTATTACAACATTAGCTTTAATAGAACTATAGAAGTTTCAGATTTTTTGTACGGGATGAAATAACTATCATATTTAATTAAATCAATTGCTATTTGGCGAATCAAAATAACCAGCCGCTTGTTTTCAATGTATGAAACCACTTTAAAGTGGCAACACCAAAATTCTAATTAACTTGTCCAAATATGCACATAGATAAAACAATAGGAACTTGTTTATTATAAAATTAAATAATTTAAATTAATTACTTTCGATCACGTTCATCATTTAAAAGTTATACCTTAAATTTTCAATACACAGTTCATGCTTTGATGTTATATAGCATTAGGGACCACAAACTCTGTCTTTAATTTAAGAGTGCCGGACAGGTGTGAATTCTCTTTAAACATCCCTTTTTAAAAGTCTGAAATACATTAATTTGACCGGATAATTCAGATAATTTGGACAAGTTGAAATATTGGTGTCGCCACCTTAAGTGAATCTAGAAGACAAATAGTTTGGTTATTTAAGTCAACTATCATGGCTTGAAACGATAGGATGATTATTTTAGTATATAAAACTCTGAAACTTCTATCAAAGCTGACGTTGCAATACCACAAAGCATAGTGGGGCATTTTTGGGGGGACACCCTGTATAGCCACTTTATAGTGATAGTTTTGGTGCATAAACGATTTGAAAATCTTTTCTACACAACAGTCGACATGCAGAATCCAGAAGCAGCGGAGGCTATATACTTCAATAACATCATTCGTCAATATTATATAATCCTACTGGAAATGATTGCATTTGGCATTTCCGAATTTGGAGAAACGGGAAAATATTAAGCGTCATTCTGTATAGACTGTATTGTATAACACGCATAGCCATGGGCAAGGGCCACTGCCCACTGGTTTTAAAATTAGATAATTAGACTTTATTTTAGTTCTTTGTCATTTGAATTGCCTTAATATTGTTCTCCTGTTTCATGTCTTATTGAATTTTCTCTGTTTTGATTATTCAACAAACTATGTACTGCTCAGGTATAACAAAGTATACTGACTTGGGCATGGTGAGCGATAATTAGTTCGTTAAGAACTAGAGCAATCTGTATCAAGTTCGGTATAGTCCGAAAAGATTGAAGCTGGCACATGAAATATATATCAGAATTTATAGTGTTACGAGGGATTTTGTGGTCAGTCTAGCAGAACATTCCGGCAAGCTTTGGTATCAAAAGGACTGTTTTATTTGCTTGTTTTTGGTGAGTTGCCTAACGGCTTCTAATATTACTAGTCTCTGCATGATACAGCGTATATACCGCTTTTTAGTTTTGGGAATAGTATTACTATTAGGCTATATATATTGTTATAATGTATTTGTAATGTATATTGGCAATAATATACTTGTATATGTCTAGTAAGGTTTGAGTTAGCCATATGGCATATATAATCCGGATATGATGTTATATATAGGTAGTACAGACTATACATGCAGTATATCAGTGTGAAAGGCCTTGTTATAGCAGTCACATATCTAATTGTATTTTGTCTTATTCTACCTATAATAGCTGATCGTGATAAACTAATTACTGTATACGAAAACCCCAGCTACTTCAATATACCCTTGAAAGGATCTGACTAGTTAAAATTACCAAAAGGCAAATTAAACTGCTTTGAGGTAACGACCAATGTCGCAATTTAACCCTGCATGGCTTAAGCTATAATTCAAACATTCCCAACAGCATCAGGTTTATAAACTTGGAGATATTTCTTCAGAAATCTTGTGTGGATCAGTCGGAGTTTTCTATTCTGGATCGAGTTTTGTAATAAACAAACGCGTTAAACGTGCATGGCCCCACAACTTTAAATAATACTAAGGACTGAAGTATGTAAAGTAAATCTTTCAACACGATCATTGCGCGATGTTAATTGGGTTAAACTGACATCATAGCGGCGGCAACCATGCACAACCGCGATCACGTCTGTCTTGTTAGCGAGGAATGAGCGGGATCTTGTCGTTGGCGGTTGGGGCGGTAAGGTTAAAGGCACAGTTCAGCCTGTTGAACGATGGTTTTTAAGGCGCATTTCAGCCCTGTTACTTGAAAAAACTAACTAGGAAAATCAATTAAGCATAATTCAAAATCACCAATCTTAATGTTTTTAACATTTTAAAACATCCATATTGTTAAAAACATCGAGTTTACTGATTTTGAATTATGCTTAATTGATTTTCCTAGTTAGTTTTTTCAATTAACAGGGCTGAAATGTGCCTTAAAAACCATCGCTCAACAGGCTGAACTGTGCCTTTAATCAAGCTAAACGGCTGCAAGTGCATGCAATGTGAATTAGGATCAGTGCATGAGCATGCAACTATCTGAAAAATATACTCCAGTCGTTGGGAACTAGTCCACTACTATAACTGTTGTCGTCCCTACCTATAGTACCTACACTGGCACCGACTGTTCGAGATGTTATTATTTAAACCTTGTTTTGATCATTTGCTTTAACTAAACCTTATTTTGAAGATTTTCCAGAGTCAGTGAAAACCTTACTTTACTAGTATTGCGATCAAACGGCAGAATATTTCAGTGCGAAATACATAAAGAAGTGAAAACTAATTAGCGATAAAAACTACATTGTTTCGAAGTATCATAATATACTGACTCCGTTCTCAATAACAATGTATAGCTTGCCTTAGGAGAAGTCTGCGAGTTCACAGAATATAAACTAATATAGTGGCATAAACTGACAGAATTTATAGTGTTATATGATTTGACGTTATAATAATTGATTGTTGGCCCGTGTTGGGTCAAGCTGATAACATCAGTCATCACAGTATATAGGCATGCACGTAGGCCGGCTAAAGCCTGGGTGGATGAGGGTGCATGAGACGTTGGCACACAGTCACGCGACCTTGGTTAGCTGTTTTTAATCATGCTGCTTCCCGAACTCCAAGCCTATTCATGCATGTATTTTAGTATTTATAAGTTCAGTGAAATGTAGCGGGACATCCATCAAACCTTTGTTTTGTTAGGAATATATCTGGAGCTTGAAATGTCCCCTGTAACAATGCGCGTGACTACCATTGAACTCTCATCTTTGCTTGATCGGGCGGTCAACCGAGACGGTGGGAATAGACAATTCCCATTATAGACTAATTTTAAAATTAGGTAAGGAAACTCAAATAAATCACCACAGCTAGAAAGAGCATACTAAAATTAGTGAAATTACAAAGTTTGGTTGCGAAATGTTGTAAAATGAGGAAAGTATAGCCTTGTAAAGTTCGCAAATTTTGTATACTTTTGTATTGCTTGCGGAAATTCCTACATTTAGGCCGAAAATGTCGCATGCAATACAAAAGTATACAAAATTTGCAAACTTTGCAAGGCTATATTTTCCACATTTTACAACATTTCGCAACCAAATTTTGTAGTTTTACTAATTTTAGTATGCTCTTTCTAGCTGTGGTGATTTATTTCCATCTCCTTGCCTAGTTTTAAAATTAGTCTATAATGGGAATTGTCTATTGTCTGACGAGAGTTGACACGCAGTCA